AGATGTTACTATGGTATACTGAAGTATAATTACAAGCATTCCATAAGTGTCAAAGGCTTTTATGGACAATTACATTAAGTTTATGCAAAGAGTCAATATTTGCAGTGTTGACCCTTCTTTTTCAAGACCTCTGCAAATCGCCCTGGCGTGCTGTCAATTAACTTCTGGGCCACATCCTGACTGATGGCAGCCCATTCTTGCATAATCAATGCTTGGAGTTTGTCAGAATTTTTGGGTTTTTGTTTGTCCGCCCGCCTCGTTAGGATTGACCACAAGTTCTCAATGGGATTAAGGTCTGGGGAGTTTCCTGGCCATGGAACAATCGGAAAGGGGATTCATCAGAGAAAATGACTTTACCCCAGTCCTCAGCAGTCCAATCCCTGTACCTTTTGCAGAATATCAGTCTGTCCCTGATGTTTTACCTGGAAAGAAGTGGCTTCGCTTTCTGGACTTTCTTGGCCGCCCTGAAGCCTTCTTCACAACAATTGAACCTCTCTCCTTGAAGTTCTTGATGATCTGATAAATGGTTGATTTAGGTGCAATCTTACTAGCAGGAATATCCTTGCCTGTGAAGCCCTTTTTGTGCAAAGCAATGATGGCGGCACGTGTTTCCTTGCAGGTAACCATGGTTAACAGAGGAAGAACAATGATTTCAAGCACCACCCTCCTTTTAAAGCTTCCAGTCTGTTATTCTAACTCAATCAGCATGACAGAGTGATCTCCAGCCTTGTCCTCGTCAACACTCTCACCTGTGTTAACGAGAGAATCACTGACATGATGTCAGCTGGTCCTTTTGTGGCAGGTCTGAAATGCAGTGGAAATGTTATTTTGGGATTAAGTTCATTTTCATGGCAAAGAGGGACTTTGCAATTAATTGCAATTCATCTGATCACTCTTCATAACATTCTGGAGTATATGCAAATTGCCATCATAAAAACTGAGGCAGCAGACTTTGTGAAAATTAATATTTGTGTCATTCTCAAAACTTTTGACCATGACTGTATGTATATAAAATGCTTACCTTGTACCTATGTTTGTCCTCTGTAGTTGCATTCTTTGTTTGCTGAAATCCATACTTTTCAATAAACGTTAATCAAATACAGTGGGGGAAAAAAGTATTTAGTCAGCCACCAATTGTGCAAGTTCTCCCACTTAAAAAGATGAGAGAGGCCTGTAATTTTCATCATAGATACACGTCAACTATGACAGACAAAATGAGGAAAAAAAATCCAGAAAATCACATTGTAGGATTTTTAATGAATTTATTTGCAAATTATGGTGGAAAATAAGTATTTGGTCAATAACAAAAGTTTCTCAATACTTTGTTATATACCCTTTGTTGGCAATGACACAGGTCAAACGTTTTCTGTAAGGCTTCACACGGTTTTCACACACTGTTGCTGGTATTTTGGCCCATTCCTCCATGCAGATCTCCTCTAGAGCAGTGATGTTTTGGGGCTGTCACTGGGCAACACGGACTTTCAACTCCCTCCAAAGATTTTCTATGGGGTTGAGATCTGGAGACTGGCTAGGCCACTCCAGGACCTTGAAATGCTTCTTACGAAGCCACTCCTTCGTTGCCCGGGCGGTGTGTTTGGGATCATTGTCATGCTGAAAGACCCAGCCACGTTTCATCTTCAATGCCCTTGCTGATGGAAGGAGGTTTTCACTCAAAATCTCACGATACATGGCCCCATTCATTCTTTCCTTTACACGGATCAGTCGTCCTGGTCCCTTTGCAGAAAAACAGCCCCAAAGCATGATGTTTCCACCCCCATGCTTCACAGTAGTTATGGTGTTCTTTGAATGCAACTCAGCATTCTTTGTCCTCCAAACACGACGAGTTGAGTTTTTACCAAAAAGTTATATTATGGTTTCATCTGACCATATGACATTCTCCCAATCCTCTTCTGGATCATCCAAATGCACTCTAGCAAACTTCAGACGGGCCTGGACATGTACTGGCTTAAGCAGGGGGACACGTCTGGCACTGCAGGATTTGAGTCCCTGGCGGCGTAGTGTGTTACTGATGGTAGGCTTTGTTACTTTGGTCCCAGCTCTCTGCAGGTCATTCACTAGGTCCCGCCGTGTGGTTCTGGGATTTTTGCTCACCGTTCTTGTGATCATTTTCATCCCACGGGGTGAGATCTTGCGTGGAGCCCCAGATCGAGGGAGATTATCAGTGGTCTTGTATGTCTTCCATTTCCTAATAATTGCTCCCACAGTTGATTTCTTCAAACCAAGCTGCTTATCTATTGCAGATTCAGTCTTCCCAGCCTGGTGCAGGTCTACAATTTTGTTTCTGGTGTCCTTTGACAGCTCTTTGGTCTTGGCCATAGTGGAGTTTCGAGTGTGACTGTTTGAGGTTGTGGACAGGTGTCTTTTATACTGATAACAAGTTCAAACAGGTGCCATTAATACAGGTAACGAGTGGAGGACAGAGGAGCCTCTTAAAGAAGAAGTTACAGGTCTGTGAGAGCCAGAAATCTTGCTTGTTTGTAGGTGACCAAATACTTATTTTCCACCATAATTTCCAAATAAATTCATTAAAAATCCTACAATGTGATTTTCTGGATTTTTTTTCTCTCCATTTGTCTGTCATAGTTGACGTGTACCTATGATGAAAATTACAGGCCTCTCTCATCTTTTTAAGTGGGAGAACTTGCACAATTGGTGGCTGACTAAATACTTTTTTCCCCCACTGTACAACCACAGACTGTTCGCTCATTGCTGTTGCTCTAAGATGGGAACTCAGCACAAATGTGCATGTGCCAATTGAATCCCAACAAGGAAACAGACAGTGTTTTTTTGGATTAACGTTTTATTAAAAAGTATTGATTTCAGCAAACAAAGAAAGGCATGCAACTACAGAGGACAAACATAGGTACAAGGTAAGCGTTTCATAAGTATTGACCTTGGGTGAATAGGTGAAGTTGGTGGAGTTCATCACAAACAACCTTCACCATAGAGTTGAGTTTAATCAGCTAGGAATAAGGAATTAGATAAGATACTGTACTTCAACGTATATATATATATTTTTTAACTGACCATGGTTGAGATGTCATCTGAAACTAGGAGGGCTTATTGTAGAAGAGCATGCAGTTAGGTGACTATGATTGTCCTTAGGCCTACATACATTTGCCCCAATGCCTTTGACACAACTAAAAGCACTATTGCATAATGAGTGTGACCAACACATATGTCTACAGAGCCAAGTTGTCTAGCCTGCTGCTAACGTTTGTGCATCAAGAAAGAATCTCAATTCAGCAGGCAGGGCCGGACCTAGGCATAAGCGACACCCCCCAAACCCCCCACATTTTTTGTTTGTTTAGTGAATTAGTCTAGCCAGGTATCAAAACTTGTAGTAACCATGGTCAAATTACTTCCCGGGCACGCAGGGCACATGCCCAGGAGCCCTGACCTCCAGGGCCCCCCCATTAATCTAGTTAGTCACAGTGGGGGAAAAAGTACCCAGTTGTCATACTTGAGTAAAAGTAAAGATACCTTAATAGAAAATTACTGAAGTAGCAGTGAAAGTCACCCAGTAAAATACTACTTGAGTAAAAGTCTAAAAGTATTTAGTTTGAAACATACTTAACTATCAAAAGTAAATGTAATTGCTAAAATATGCTTGTGTCAAAAGTAAAAGTATAAATAATTTCATATTCCAAACCAGACGGCATCATTTTCTTGTTTATTTTAATTTACGGATAGCCAGGGGCACACTCCAACACTCAGACATCATTTACAAACGAAGCATGTGTTTAGTGATCTGTCAGATCAGAGGCAGTAGGGATGTCCAGGGATGTTCTCTTGATAAGTGTGTGGATTTGACAATTTTTCTGTCCTGCTAAGCATTCAAAATGTAACGAGTACTTTTGGGTGTCCAGGAAAATGTATGGAGTAAAAAGTATATAATTTTCATTATGAATGTAGTGAAGTAAAAGTAAAAGTTGTCAAAAATATAAATAGTCAAGTAAAGTACAGATACCCCAAAAAATGACTTAAGTAGTACTTTCAATTATTTTTACTTAAGTACTTTACACCACTGGTTAGTCACTCTCACTCATCATATTACATTGGAATAAGACATGGCAAAAGGCCACTAAAATGTTTTGCCTGCAAGATGGGCCCCCCCAACATAATTTCGCTTAGGGCCCCCAAAAGGCTAGGGCCAGCCCTGCAGCAGGCCAGGAAGCGAGGTTAGTACTGCATCTATTTTAACCTCCTGCTTGTGATGAGTGTCAGTGCAAGAAGCAAGTCATGTGGTTTCTACAAGATTGTGTTGCAAGACCGCAGTTCATCGTCTTTTGCTCACCCGAAGACACCCTCCAGACAATGTAGATCCGTATCAACCCAACATGAGATCTAGCATTGTCACATAGCCCATAAAGAAGAGATTCAGCCCATAGCTTTCTTACAATTTTATTATTGCAAAACATATCAGAAGAAGCCTTTTCAGTTTAGTCTGCTCACATAAACAACAAAGTCCCTCTTAAAGCAGTTACAATGCATATTTGAAGAACCAAGTGCTGAAAGGGGTTTCAAACAGAACATTGAGAAGGTCCCATGAATGAACGTTTTTTGATGATACCAGTATAGGCTATAGAGTAGCCTAGGGTACCATATACCATGCCCTTGCAATGAATACACTGCATGCTTTTGAAACATTAACGGTGTTATAAAACTGTTATAGGCTCAAGTTAACAGTGTTATAAACCCACAAAAGGCCATAGGCCTATCAAACTCATAAGCATTAGTATAGGCTTCTGTACTTGTAGTCATAACTTCTGTACTTGTACTTGTAGTCATAACGGAGAATGAAGAAAACAGTGTGAATGAAAGAGTAGCCTAACATTTCCTTAATGTAGTGAACATTAAAGACTACCTGTGTTAAGTGTAATGTTGATTTAATCACCCATTCTTTACATTCTGAATATGATATGTAGGTGAATTCATCATTACTTCAACACAACTTCAGGGATGAATGTGATTGTTAGTTGGCCTACAAGACCTTCTAAAGTTAATACTATATAAATAATTTTAAACTTCCCTTCATGTTTCACATTAATAGTGAAAAGCTACAATAAATAGGGTAAATTATAAACATAGCATTGTTTTCAAATTAATAATATCCATGTTATGGGTCTTGAAGAAAGAACTTGGTCAATGGGACTTTAATTGATATCTAAAATGCCACATTGTTACAGAGCTACAGAGAATGAATGATATTAGTGGGTATTTCACATATTTACAATCATTGAAACAGTAATATCTATCTTCCTAAACGTTACCATCAGATAAGAGGCTAAGGCCCCTTCACAGCAGCCATTCACCCCCCTCAGCCAGCCTACAACAGTGCAAAGTACATGTTAACTCCAAGGTCTTTCATTGACTTGTGCAGTTTGACTTGGGAAGCCCTGTTTGTTTGGCTCTCCCTGTCTTGCAAACACACACACACATACGTGTGCACACACACACGGCCCATCATTTTGCAACCTCATTACACATGTACGCACAGATACACGTATTCACTTGCGTGCACACACACCACACACAGGCAAATATACTGAAAGAGGGTGTAATTTACCAATAATCAATATATAGACTTTTTCTTTCTCAATATATAGACCTGAAACAAAGACTGTAAAGCAAAATGGATATAAAGCCTTTATAAAAAGTAAATAACTATTTACATGAGTAAGTGCTTTTTCACTGAGCCCTGATACCATTTGTCAAAATAGCCTGTACTAAAGTAGTTTGTAACTCAATTAGAAAAAGCTTACATCATTAGGTATTACAAAAATCTTGGTCTCATTTAGAGAATGATAGCCAAAGCTACGTACTTACAAATAATAGAAGGGTTGGGAACCCGAAACAAAATGAATCTCAACCCCACTAAATACAAACTGTAAGGGCTCTTATTTACATTCAAACATCTGAAAATACCCATATGTTCCAACATACATTTGTACATATTCACACAGTTGCTGTTAATCCCTCATCCTCAAATCATCTTTTTCAGCTTTGTTACACTGTAACGTATTCCTTAAATGTCACTGTGAGACAGTTTGTTGTAATATCCGTGATGACTATATTCCCAAGGAAAGGCTTGAATGAAGGAAAAGGCTCCCCCTCCACAGTCTGTTCTGTTGTGATAGCCAATGGCGGTTTTGTCTGTTCTGCAGCCTTCTCCTCCTCAGCAGAAGGAGCCACCTGTGTCTCTGTGGGAACTGGAGCCTCCCCTCTGGACCTCACACAGCTGAGGTCCATGGGCTCGTCCTGGTTAGACTCCAGGAAGTCATAGTCCTGGTGGCCATTGTGGCTATGGTGGCCATTTTGGTCCATGGAGTTGCTCTGAGTTGGTGAGGACACCGTGCAGGGTGCACTGATACTCCGGGAGTTTAGAAACCGTTTACAACCACCCCGGTCCTCGCCCTTGTCTGCCTCCGAAAGGTGACGTTTGAGGGCTGGAGAGGAGCCGTTTCCTGGCTGAGTCTTCCTATGAACCCTCATCTCAAAGGGCCAAGGGGCAAGGTTAGGTTTGGTGGTCAGCTGCAGGGGCTGATCCTCTGTAGCCTCCTTTTGACTCCTGACATTGAAATGTTTATCCTGTTCTGTCGCACTAAGCTCCATTTTGGGTGAGTCGACCTTCTCAGCAGGACACTTAAATACGTTAGATCCGTTAGATCCTGAGTTGCGGACGTGTAACTTAACATCTTTGTTGCAGTCTTTCGTGAATCCGTTGGTGAGACCCAGTTTCTGGACGAGTCTCATCTTTTCAAGGTGATTTCCTGCAGCATCATCATCTTTGTCCGGCTGCGGTTTGTCAAGGGTTTCCACATCTCCGTTTTTAATCCTTGCTGCCTGCATGCCGTTCTCCATGTACTTGCTCATGACAATGACGATGCGTCCGTTCTTGTTTTTGTTCTTGACGATCTTCAGTTTGCTGTCGCTGACACCGTTGGCCTTCAACAGCGGTGCGTCCTCTTTGGCCGTGGCCTTGCTCTGCACCGATTCGCCACTGTGGCCGTTGAGGTGAGCCGGAAGCTTCTTTAGCTCCATGGTAATATCCTTGACTTTGCTCAGGCAGCCAGAGTCCTTGTCCCGGACCCACTTCTGCTGCAGCGCGGGAGGCAGGTTCCAGCCGCGGTTGGTGGGCAGTTCCGGAGGTTTGGTGGCCTCCCTGGGCTTTAGGCACTGGGTGCTGTCGTACATCTTGGGGTCAGGCTGGTAGTGGTGATGTTTCTTGCTGTTGAGCTGGTAGTAGAGCTTCTTCTTTCCGTTGGCCTGCTGCTCTGCCTCCCTCTCCTTGGCCAGCAGGGGCTGGTACTGGTGGTGCTTCTTGCTGTTCAGCTGGTACTGCTGGGTCTGCGAGCGCAGTGTCTGGATGGGGTCCACTTTCTGGCGGTTGTCCTCGTCCAGGGTGGTCTCCTGAAGGCCTGAGAGGACGCTGGATCTCCGGGCGAAGGACGGGACCTGAGAAAAACACAGCTGTTAGGTAACAGATAGAGCGGACTTGTTGACATGACCATCTGACTGACTTTCTCTCTGTAATGAAGGTTAGAAAATGCTATCATCAAATGGTGTCCTCTAGATGACCTTTGAGTGAGTCCTGAGCCTTAAACTTGGGTTTAGTTCTAAACTTGTGTTTAGATCTGTGAAGGCCTTTCATACATATTTTACCCTCCTGGCCATCAGTGACATTTCAGAGTGGCTCCTCTAGCCGCTGTGACCAAAGCTCTGAGTAATGCCATAGGCTGCTTTGTGCCCCATCACTGACTTCATCCTATGTGTTACCACCAACACCGTCCTGAGACAAACAAACACTACCTAGAGGGGGTTCCTTTTTCCCTTTGTATTTGTGATTGATGTCTAGATTTACTTTTCAGTCACTGCTTTAGGATTGAAGACATTTTGGAAACCTAATCTACCCAGTCTATCCCTATCCTATCAACAGCATGTGCCCCTAATCTATATGACAGTAATTCCTAGTATCATACTCCTGCTTTAAAATATGATCAGATTTTAACATCCATTCTGTAGTCTTATAAAGGACTTAGAAATCTTATAAAGCCCATCTCAATTAAGGAATGTGTTGGCCTTAGTGCTGGAATGGCAAAAATGTACTCAAAATCTCTTATAGTAACATTTATTTGATCAAATGTATAGTAATCAAGGAGTTAATTGTCCACTCCAAAATATGTGAAGACTCACCTGGCTCATCAGGTGCTTTGGCTTTGGCCCTCTTTTGCGATATCCCATAAGCTGCTCGTATCTCTCCCTGTGAAAGACAGAAAACACCATTATTTAGCAGTTAACAACATAATGTAACACAATTAGGCGGCGGGGGAGATATTTCATTGATATTTCAAACCTTATTGAAAGGGGCCTGATTTGTTATGGGGGTTGCTAATGACAATACAATGATGATGGTAATAACAATGATGAAATACAGTAATGCAATGCAGTCATTTATGGGAAAATCCCATGCACCATTTAATCCTAATTGGTGACATGAAATATCAGTGGAATACCCCTCAGTCATATCACCATGTTTACCACTAGATCCTCTAACTGAACCCATGGGACATGAATTACAAATCTCATGCTTTATGTAGTGTAGGGCCTACAGGCTACAGGCGTTGCTGCATATCAAAGTCCTTCTCATTACTTAGCTGTCAAATATGGTATGGTTTAGGCCTCACTAAATCTGCATTTCTCCAAAATAATTTCTACATGGAATTAATAGTTTTCTAGTTCAACATTCAATCCATTTAAGGATGGAATAAATTCAGGGCCTGAATGAACTACACATCTATAGACTATGTAACTGGTGGATAGGATAATTTTCCTATAGCCCACTATTTTCCATGCCTTTCTCAAGAGCAGTAATTCAATACCCAATGAGTACTGATGTCAATCCCCGTACATCTAATTACGGTGGCGACTCAGTATATTTTCATAGCCTGGTACTCTGCCCGGTGAGGCTCCCCGGAGAGTCACGCAATTAGCTACAATAAAAACTCTCCCATTTAGAGACAGAGATAATGGCGAAAACAGACACCACCCTCCGTCAACATTTTCCCTACTGAGTGACCTGTCTCTTTTACAAGCTGGTGTGAGAGAATGACAGTAAACCCGACGACAGGCCGAGTCACTGCATGGTTTTTGCGCCATAGTGCAGTTGTAGTTGTGCGTTCACGTCCAGAAAAACCCCACGGGAGGTTTAGCAATTACCGGTTAACAGTAACGCCTGTCCAGGCATCTTGAAAAGGCACACGGGCGTCTTCAAGCGGATGCTTCTACGGTTGTTACAGTGATATCGCCTATCACTAGAAGCCTAGGGCGCTTTTTGTCTATCTAATGTTGATAATCCAATACATGGGGAGATGAAGCAGGGATGGGGGACAAGACAAAGCATGCAGTGAAGGAATATTTGGCCCTGGTGTCTACATAAAGCCTGTGAAAGATGATAGCCTATTGTGGTATGGGCAAATTAAAATAAATTAATCTATTATTATAGGCCTAAGAATATCACATAGGGACAATTCAATGTCCAATATGGTCGACTACGAAATTGTAACTGTTACCCAGTCATACGCAATCTTTCCAATCATTCCAAAATGTTTTCAATCAGATTTGTGTGGTCACTGTGTAGGCCTACTGAGATTTAAAAAATAATAATAATAATAACACTTGTGATTGCATCATCTCCTTTTTAGGGCCTTGAAAAATGTCCTACATTTTATGCACACCACGAGATAGAAGTGGTGCGCTAGTGGTGCGCTCGCTACAAACGCACACGCACAGAGCAGCGCCCCCCACCCCCATTGACTACACAAGGTCGGCACGTCAAATCGAGTCTGTCAAGCTCACCTGTTTTGGAAAGCGTCAAGCAGTCGCGGGTCGAGAATGTTTTCTTCTGGTTCCCACGTGTTATATCTATTTAGACAGAAAGTAGGAGAGAGAGAGAGAGAGAGAGAGAGATTAATATCAACAGAGGTCGCCTTCTATCAACCAAACTACAACCATATATCAAATGTGGCCGTAATCCGCTTGGTTGCAGACAGAATCCGTTGTAAAGTAGCTAGGCAACTTTTGTAATCAGTTTAGCTGTTAACAGTTAGCAGTCAGTCTTGACCAAATAGGCCTATATCAAAACATAAACATTATGCATATTATTGATACATTTGTAATAAAGTAAGTGCGAAGTGTAGCCTATACTCTGGAAATAGGTCATTATAAAGTGTTAATAATTGCTAGGAAGTATACTTCACAAAGTCAACACAAGCAAAACAGTAGGGTAACACCATGTAAACATGAGGGTGCTTAGGGTAACGTGGGGTAACAAGCCGAAGCCCCAGGGGTAACCCCCCCCCCCCCCCCCCAAAAACATACATATATATTCTAATTAAGTTAGATCTATACACTTTTTGTAGATATAACATTAGGGCAATCCAATGCAAGTCAATCGTACCTAAATTAGCATATATGCAAATCATGTCCAAATCATCTACATATAACTTCATTGAGTTACACAGTCATTTGTTTTATACTTTAGGATGATTTGGACATGATTTGGTGTGAAAATGAAAAGAGGGAATATACATCAAAACCTCATCATAGTGATGATATTAATAGTGAGATGTGCAATGCCATTTTGTTTCAATATTTAATTTATTTAATTTAAATAAGATACCTAGATTTGAGCTTTTAAGAGTTAATTACTACAAAAAATGGTTGGGGGGGGGGGGGGCTAGTTACCCCACGTTACCTTAATATCTCCTTAACATACATAAATTAGTGATGGCATCCTAAGCGCCATCGATCGAATCAAACATTGGCTTCAACGAGCGCAAAGACGAACGCGCCACACACACAGACGCACACACACACACACACTTGAAAACTTTAAATATTAAATTGCATTACTATGGTAGTACTAAAGTAGGCTATAGTATTTTAAAAGCTAACTTACTTTGGAGACCATCCTCGCCACTTGACTAGGTATTCCATCCTCCCCTGTAAGGAGATGAGAGAACATATTGGTTAATTTGATTATAAGCGGTTCTTTGAAATTATAGGCTATCTGCTAAAACACAACAACATAATTTACTTCCATCAATTACGCAATATATTGCATAGCGACAACAAAGAACCCTGTTTGTGGATATTGAGCAATCATATATTTGAAGTGTTTTCAAACCTTTCGATTCCGCTTCTTCTCGATGCTTTCCACCGCAAAGACGTGCTCTCCCGCGGCGGGTAGCTCCATTTGCGATGCAAGGGGAAGGTTTCTCTTCCAATGGCTGTAGAAAATGTCACCCTGCCCGCTTTTGTGCTGTTTTTCCGTCGTTCAAATTGATACGGGAGATTTCCCTTCAATCCGATCTTCCCTCTCTTTCCCTCTCACTCTAGTCGGAATTCGTTGGCAGTGGCAGTGCGATACGTTTTGCTTTGCACACGAGAAGGGGCTGCAGAAAACAGTTAATGCAAAGAGCCATTGATGTGACGTCAGGAGGAGGAGGCGCTTTTGGGGGCTGGAGCGGTTTCATGCTTCAGCCCATGGATATGTAGGGTGAAATGGAACTGCAAGAGGGTGCTATGAAAAGTATAATATTGTGTTATGATATGTCAAATTGGGAATTGTAACTGAATATTTGCCTTTTACGCAATTATTGCCTTTTACGCATGTCATCCACATCATGAAAAAAGGAATCAAGGCTACCATTGCCTATGCTCAATGACCATTTCCTTTTATCTATTTTAATCAATGTAGTCTATTTGTTAATGTATTCATTAGCGTTTTCACAAGGGTATGCTAGATATTTCTAATGGACAGACCCCTGGTTTCCTTAAAGGCTGAGACCAATGGATAAATTAAGTGAATGTCATATCATCATCAATAGGCCTACTGAAATGCAACTTTGGTGTCCCACTCCAAAATAAATATATGCAACAGTTCATTATGGATATGGTAGGCCAAATGTAGCCCATAACTGAATGATACAGATCAATAAATGGTACCTTAAGCATTTAACCCCCTATAGAAAAGAAACATTACACACACTGAAACATTATGCACAATAAAACATTATGTGCAGCTAATTAAGCTATAGAAGATTGTATTAATCACTCCCCTATCTAATTTACACATTCTACTAATAATAACCATCATTACCCTCATATGATTGTGATAACTGTAATATGGATTTCCCAGGTTATTTATGATCGTTTTCCAAAGACTTCACACAGGGATCTTGAAAGAATATCCATAAATGTGAGCTTTGCTATTCACCTTAGTGACTTGGCTACCATACCCAATGGCTGAGCAAGGATGCGTCGTGCTGGTAGGCATTTTCCATAAATATCTACCCTTTCCATCCATATTATCTGTCCTTCTTAATACAAGGTCATATGTAAAGCCATTTTAGAGCGCCAGTGTCGCGGTATGGGGCATCTAGTGAATTTTCTCTGCACATCAATGGCCCGTGGTTGTGTCAGAGATATGTAGGTCACATCAGTTGGTCTTAAACCCCGTTGGCATTTCTTCCACCGCGTTTATTTCTGCCATCCGACTCTGACGGGCACCAGCCGCTGCATTATCATTTGGGCGAGAGAGGCATGGGCCTACCTCTGGCACATAGAAAAGCCAACAGGATGTGTGTTTGCTTTTTTTGCACCTTACAACAGCACAGTTATTGCCGCTGGTGGTGGTTCGTGTGTGTCTTATGCCCGCTGTCTCTTTGAAACATGAAAAAATGTTGGACGTGTTGACAAGTAGGCTATAGTTGCCGCACACGCACGGATGTACACACACACACACACACACACACACACACACACACACACACACACACGCGCGCGCGCGTAGATTTGGCTTGTCAAATGATCTGTTACATTGTATAAGCCTTACACATTGTAAAAGTATTGGTATTTCTATATATTGTTATTTATTTCGTTATATTTTTTCGGTATAAAGGCGCAAGCGTCGAGTATCATTTTAAACGTAAATAAAATTCAGCAGCGCAAGGGTTAAAGCAGAACAGTTCATGCAGGCGGCAATGTTCAGCCTATTGCAGACAGGCACGACTTCCTTTCCTTATAAGGCAATGAGCTCAAAACGCCAGAGAAATATCAAATGAACTAGTTGAACGACCAGATTCACAAGAGTATTTGCGCACAAAATCACTCCCATACTCACGCTGGCTATCAAAACATTCATTATTTTTCAGTAGGTTCAAAGGAAAGACCACAAAGCAAAATACGTCGGCTATGATGCCATGTTTCATTGTCATTGTGGCTCGAGCAGCAAGCTTTGAGCGGTCACAATAAAACAGCAATTCTATAACATTCGCAATCTTCTTCGAAATAATTAGGTATATGGTTGACTGCAAGGGCCACAACACTCAAATATACTTATTTTGATGAAAACCATTTGCGTGGTTGAAACGAAGTTTTGCCATCTATTTTAGTAGATACAATATTCTCCAATGACACCTGACCCTTGATATGCCCATGGAAAAATTATATTTGTATGTCACCAAAAGTCTGTGACTGTCGTCTTGTATAGGCTATGCGTGATATTACAATTTATGAGCCATATCAGTTAAAGATTTAACAATGGATGTGGTTGGAATGATAAAAATGGACACCACCACACAATTTCCATTTCACTGTCTTTCAATTTGCGCATGGCACATGTTTCAAAGGTTCAAGGGAACGTGATGCACGTGCAGTCCTATTAATATGTTATCATGTCCATGTGAACTCCAACAATACTATGCTCATTCAGTTCGGAGAATAACCCCGACATATGAACTGAAAGCTCAATGTCACTTATAAAAAATTCCAGCAAAGGGAACTAAATGGTAAATCAGAGGAACAATTATATCATAGACTAGGCCTACATCATGTCATAACTGCAACCAGTCAATCCAAAACTACAGTAATTCGATGTTTATTAGGGGCATTTCTTATGAAGTCATCACTGATGAACCTCTAACCCACAGAGATAACGCATGATTCATCTCACTATAATAAACCTTGGTGAAACACAGATTCAATGTTTTATTGGACATTTCCATTCTTACATGGAATGATGACCACACATGAGACTGCAAATAGCCTACACAATTTTCTCTTAACTTTAAATTACAGTTTGCATAAAGGGCTTTCAAAGTATTTCATTTGTCTTATGTTCCTGATAGCACAAGGTCTACCAAATAGGTTACAATGGACTGAGTGATCTATTTCATTTAGGCTACAGTTGCCATGGTTGTTGGGATGAACAGCCAGATTGTATAAAGAATTTGAGAAGACTTGTAGTGTGATATGCCCTCCTTTCAAGTAAATCCTCTATTATATACATCAGGCTTTTATAAAAACAACTAATTGAACCCCTGACATGTACTTCATAGCCTACATATGTCAAATGAGATTTCAACTAAATGTATTGAACAAAATGAATGAACAAAATTAAACATACACACTAAAAACATATGGTTATATATTGTGCCAAATAAGGGTTATTTGGCTTGTAACCAACCTTTTTTTGAAGGTTCTATAAAGAACCATGCTCATAAGGTTCTAATTGGAACCTGTAAGGTGCTATAAAGAACCCTTTCCTAAGGTTCTATAAAGAACCATTAAAAAAAGGTTCTATATAGCACCAAGAAAGGATTCCACTATGGTTAGAACCCTTTTTGGGGCTATATATAACTATTTTTTTTATGGTTCTTTATAGAAACTTTATGGAGAATGGTTTTATAAAGAACCTTTCTCAATCCTCTCAAAGGTTATTTGTAGAACCATACAGGTTTTTCTATTCTGGTTTAATAGCCATATTATATTGTTAGAATTCCATATGTTTTATTATTGTGTTTATTAACGTTGAATCAGGTGTGCTAGCTCTGGAACAGCTGGGGCTCTGGAACGGCTTTTGAGAAACAGACAGTCATTACATTTACATTGGCCCACATTATGGACACCAAAACAAGTCTACATTAACGGGTCCAATGACATACATTAGGTATGGGAGAGAGCAAAAGGTGAATTATGCTAAGCAATGGGGAGGATAGGGGACATGGTTGGTCAGAAATGGAAATGATGGCCCTCAGAACAGGGGTAGGGGATGGTGCAGGGTAGGTACAAAGAGAGGAGGGCAATCGGGTCAGGGGTTTTGAAGGGAATCGTTGCTGCATGTATGAATCTGTTTGAAGGGATGTGCCCAGGGAGAGCTAAGCAGTGAACAAAAGGGGCAGTATGTAGTGACAGGATTGTTTATACAACAGGGCGACATCTGAGTAAGGTGACATTTAGCCTACACGTAGGAAATAAACAGACTTTATGTGCGTCAGAGAGAAGAAACCTGACGAAGATCAAATGACGAAGAGCTTAAATTACGAACAAGAAACTCTCGGGAAGTGTATGGAGAGAAGACATGAGGATTTACACAAAAGGAAGGGACCAGGAATGAGGCATTTATTGTCCAAGTATGTAATGGTGGAGAAAGATAAGAATGAATTATTTAGAACTAAAAGGGACTGTACAGACAGGTAAATCAGGAAGAGTCTAATCAGGTGGATGATTGTGACAGATGGGGGAAGGGATGAAAAAAGGTTTAAGAGTTGAGGCAGGAGAACAAAGTCTTGGCTTCGGCGTTGACTAACTCAACTGGATAATATAGCATGGTATTTACACAATATTTACACAATGTATATGCTAATTAGGTGGAATTAATGACACCTGTTAAACTATTATAAACTATCACGATTTGGAAGACCAAACAAGTGGCTGCCAATGGAGTTCTTTGTTATTCAGATCAGTGACTTGTATTCAAATCAATCACTTTAGTCCTCCACCCACATAGTAATCCTTACTTTCAAGGAAGAAATGAATCCTTTCCAGGTTGGGGCACATTCTTATGGGACTAAATAATCAAATGTGCCACTGTGAGTGATGAATATCTCGATTGACCTTCAATATTCCTGTTATTCAAGAAGCATCAGCTCTGATATTCAGTCATTCATAATAGGGACCATCACAAAGCTCTAAAATGAATAAACACATATGACTCATTCATAATGGCTTTTACTCCAGAGGGCCGTTTTAGTAACGTCAACAGCAGCCTTCCCAGCAGCCTTCACCAGTCACGACGCAAGTCGTTTACGTCTTTGCACGCATCAGGGGAGAGAGCCACGATGTCACGATGACTCAACAGCCTCCTTAGAACAAGCAGTGTAATTGGTTGGGAGTCTACGGAGCAGCTCAGGACGTCAGAGGCAGGTAACAGTCATGACTTTTGAACAGTCAGATGACTCACAGTTGAGAATGTTCTATTCATGTTTTTTCTTCTTCTTCTTTTTCCCTCCCTTGTGCTTCGGTTCTGACAGTGACTAGTGACGTACTCTCTCCCGCCCTCTCTCTCCTCTCTCTCCCCGTCTACCTCTCTCATCCCTCTCTAATCCCTCTCCCTCTCTGACGCTACACGGCCACACCAGATT